TGGATGTTCTGTCCCCTCTGTGGTGCATGTAATGCCGCCACTCGTATATCAAGATGAGGTGCCTTTATATGCACTATTAGCCGCGTCGGATCCTTGTGTAATACTCGCAAGTGGCGCGCTTGAAGGCACAAAACCTTGTTCTTCGTCGTAGCGTATGGTATGTTTGTTGAAACCAACAGTGCACATCCATGCCCACCAGCATCAGCCCCAGATCTCAACGTGATATACCCATCAGCCCATTGCTGTCCTCCACGTCCTCTTGCCTCCTGCAGCCCAATAAGTACCAGTTGTTCGTCCTGAAACTGCATCCGAAGCCTTTGAAGTCTGCGTCGTTTTTGATCCCGCTGATGCCTATTCAGCTTGCTTGATCTTGCCTCAGTAAATGACATGACGTTATACGTTGCCATGGGGAAGTGTATCTGCGCTGATGTCTGCTTGCGATTCCCTGCTGCACCATCCATAATACCATCACCTGCTATTGGATAGAGTGTGCCTTTGAAGTCATCCATGCTACTCATGTTGGGGGTCACTTTCTCCCATTGCGGCGTCGGAAAGTGCAAACCATCATCATGAAGCTCTGGGTACGCCGCCATTGCTCGAGAATCGTATCGCAACCATGTCCACTGCATTCCCTCCTGATAGCTTATACTGTCTGCGAGATCTGCATGTGGGCATCCATGTTGTGTGACCAGGTTGGACCGAGCAAAATTATCCGCAAGATGATTCCATGGATCCGCATCATGAGACTTTGTATATGTAAATGTAATTGAGCACATATGTCGAACCTCCCTCACCAGCACCGTCAGGTATGCTTCGAGTTGCGCATTGGGAGTGTATCCATGCCTATTGTGAATAATACCGAGAGTAATCTTCGAGTCGGTCGTGACAGTCCATCTTACATCATGATATCGACACTCTTGAAGAATATAATGTAATGCCCAAATCATAGCCATGATCTCTGATGTCGTGCTGTCCATATGACAGCCCTCATAGAGTATTCTCGAACTCCCCAAAGTCCTTGACGTGAGAAAACCCTGCAACGATTGCGTCGTCCCAGCAAGGTAACTGACCACCACAGCCCACCCATCACAGGTGGGATCAGTCTCCTTGTGAGAACCGTCCGTCCAAATGAACGCTTGCGTGGGCACGCAGGAGCACTTCGGCGCCAACTCCAACGGCAGGCGAGCCATATCGCTCAGCTCAATGCCAGTGAAGTCCATACTCAGCTCAATGGGGTCCCACTCGAGCTGGCGCGCCATAAATGTGCTCGGGATATTCGCCTTGCATCTTTGAGGCGGCTCTAGTAGCTCATCCAATGCAAGTCGCCTAGGTACGTGTTCATGTGCATAATCGTGTCGAAGCTGACTCTCCATATCTTCCAAGCCTGGTGGGGGAGGAAGCCGAGAAAGTCCAGCATGTGCACGGCCCAGAGAGCGAGGATCACCGCATCCCTGAAGAGCGTGTTCCGTCGAACCCACCGTGGTTACCCGACAGCTGTTCTGGTCCGTAGCACAAGAAAAACCTTCACCACCATGTGCACCATCCATTGATCTGTAGGTAGACGATGCAACTGAGATGGGAGAATCAATAATGATGTTTGGCGAGCCAACCTGTGATAGGCTCGGTGACCCGCCCATGCGCCTCAGTCTCGGAGTTGCCGTCCTTGATCTCCCGCAATCAAAAGACGGAGTTCGCAAAATGCTTTGAATTCGTGGATTTCCTGTGGCCCTTGATGTAACCATTCCTCCGTCCTGGCGGCCATCCTTCCAGGACCGAGGGTGCCAACCTACTTTTTTGACGATTGGTCTGGGGTACCTGGTGTACCCTTCTTCGCTGGAAAAGCAACTCTGTCCCACGGACACTCAAATCCATTGCCCCCAGGACGTTCACTCAGCCGAACCTTCGATGGCGGGCGACCACATGACGACGTTGCCGAGTCACTCACAGGTTCATCTATTCCTCCAGGGGTGTGGATCTGAAAATGCCGAGGGGTATCTGCAACTGGTGTCGGCGGTAATGGCGACGACTCACAACTCCCACCTTTGCTACCAGATCCATGCCCCTTAGCTCCATGACCAGCTGAAGATACACCAAAAGGCTGCATCGCCAGTCCTCCTTTGCCCTTAGCCTTGTGGCCCTGGATGTTCTCAGGCGTCTTGAACGTGCATGGGTCCTCCGTGGGCCGAGTCGGCGAAGCGAACCTGGATTCCTCCGACGTCGATGGTGCAATGCTTTCTGGCGCTGAGGACGGAGTTGGATACTGCTCGTGCTGCCCCACACCGTAAATCTGACTCAAAGTAGGCTGATTCGCCTGGTCAATCATGGCCTGCATCTCCTCCTCATATGCCTGCATGTCCGCCTCGTCCTTCGAACCTGGCTCGGGCGGTTGGTAGGTACCTCTCATATCCCTCTGTTCTCGACTAACACGCTCCTCTTCTGCAATTCGATTTGCCAATTCAATCTCTGGGTCATCAAAATACGTAGGAGAGTGCCGGGACGAGACCCCTGGACGGGGAGGTTCATCATTTGTCGCCCCGTTCGTGCCAGCACCTTCCTTCTTCGCGCTATCGGCAATGATCGCCGTGACAATCTCTTGTTGTTGCTGCCTATTTTCTATCATCTGAGCATATTCCGCCGCCATATCTCGAAGCTCCTTTCGGTCTTCCTCCTCAGCCTGACGCTCTTGCATGGCAAAGAATTCTTTCAACTGCTTCTCATGTTCCTCAGGGGTGATGTGCTGGAATGCTTTCAACGTTTGCATTCGGACCTCCTCCAGCCTCGCCTGCTCCGCCATTTGCACGCGGCGATGTTCAGCTTGAATCTGCTGATCGATCGCTTGCTGCCTCGCATGTAATTCACGTTTTTGCTCCTCCTGAATCTGCTGTGCCCTGGCTTGCTCGGCTCTCACCCGCTGGTCATTCTGCCGCTGACGCTCCATCAGGTCGTACTGAGACTTTGCATACATGTCTTGCAAGCGCTGCTGTTCTGCGAAAAAATGCTGACGCTGCTGTTCTGCCTGCACCTGTGCAACCTGCGCTTGCTGTCCAATCGCCTGTCGAAGTTCTGCCTGTGCCGATGCCTGAGCCATGACCATCTGCGTTAGGGATGTCATCTGAGCGATCAGCGACGCCATAGTATCGTCAGTCTGACCAGCCACCTTATCTCGATCATCCTGTCGTTCATCTCGCATCTGACTTTGGCCTTGCTGGTCATGTTCGTCGTCAAAATCTTCCAACAGCATGCCCTCCTCCTCGTCTTCTATATCCTTTCTTCTATTTAGTTCAGATATGACCTCCATGATCTTCGCTCTCTTGCTCTTCAACTCGGCCTCGAGGTCCAGGATGCTCTTTTTATCCTTCATTACTTTCACCATCTGGCTATCAATCTGTTCCAACTCGGCATCCAATGAGCTGCGCTGCTTGTAGCTTGGACGAATAATCAAGAGCATGTACTTGATGCAGCTGACCTCCTGTTTCTGAACCTCAATGTCCTCCCCTGCATCCTTTGTCGCTTGTATCATCTTCAACAACTTTGCACAACGAAAGTTCAACCTCCTCTTGTACTCTACCACAGCATACTTCTCCTCAGGAGGGGGCACATATGCAGGATGTTTTTGCGCCTCCTCTCCTGTTGAAATCGGAATTCCGTTGTAGATCTTCTTCATCGCACGGTCATGTTCAGGTCGAGTCTTCTGCTGACCTTTTTGACCTTGCTCACGTGCACGAGACTGGCTTCTTCCCCGTCGTGTCCATGGCGCATGCGACCTCCAGTCATGTTCATTCTGTCCATATCCATGCTGCCGCCCCTGTCTTGGGGTCTGAGACTGCCAACTCTGCGCCATCCTCCTCGGCTGGTGCTGCTGCTGCTGCTGATGCTGCGGCGGCTGGGCGCTGTGATGGCTGCCGAGGATGTGCGCCGCGTCCAGGACGCGGATGAGGGTCCTGGCGTTGGCCCTCTTCTCCCTCTGTCGCCTGTGCCAGGCGGGCTCGCCCTCTCGGGGCGTGGCGGCTCCGCGCCGCCGCGGCTGCGGCGCCGATGGCGCGCCGCGCGCGGCCACGAGCGGCGGGGGCGACCGACGGGACGACGGCCCCGCCCCTCCTCAGCCCGTGGCTCCTCCCTCCTCCTCCTCCTCCTCCTCCTCCTCCTCCTCCTCCTCCTCCTCCTCCTCCTCCTCCTCCTTCCCCTCCTCCTCCTCCTCCTCCTCCCTCCTCCTCCTCCTCCTCCTCCTCCTCCCTCCTCCTCCTCCTCCTCCTCCTCCTCCTCCTCCTTCCTCCTTCTCCGCCTCGTCCTCCTCGTCCTCCTCCCTCCTCGTCCTCCTCGTCCTCCTCGTGCTCCTCGTCCTCCTACTCCTCATCCTCCTCGTCATCCTCGTCCTGCTCCTCCTCCTCCTCCTCCTCCTCCTCCTCCTCCTCCTCCTCCTCCTCCACCTCCTCCTCCTCCTCAGGCGACGGCGACGAAGACGACAGCGACGGCGACAGCGGCGGCGAAACAGCGACGACGACGACGACAGCCAAGGGACACGCAGCGCCCATTTCCTCCTCCTCCTCCTCCTCCTCCTCCTCCTCCTCATCCTCATCCTCATCCTTCTCCTCCTCCTCCTCCGCCTCCTCCTCCTTTCCCTCCTCCTCCTCCTCATCCTGCGTCTACTCGCTTGAATCAGGAGCAAGTCGTCTCCAGGCTGATGAGAGGGCTGCAACCACGCACGGGTAAGTTATTTCCCGTGTGAGTTCTCGCTCGCTCTAGTGCCTCCGCCCGCGTCGTTCGATGAGCTCGGTTGGGGTTGTCAGAGTGTGCAAGAGCGGTGCTCGGCAGCCTACCTTGATGGCTGCTTCACCGTTTCACTCCTCTGCTTGGGCGCGCTCGATCTGACCGGCCGCGCCTTCCATCGCTCGGGACCTCCTCCTCCTCCTCCTCCTCCTCCTCCTCCTCCTCCTCCTCCTCCTCCTGTCCCACCTCGCGCAACCTATCTATCCAGGGCGGGCTCCCTCGCTCGCTCGTTCCCTGCTTGCACGGTCCTGTTCTTGGCCATCGCGAGGATATCCTTTGCGGCCTTGTCCTCCTGCATCTTCACCTTTGAAGCATGATGCGGGTGAAATGGAGGGAGGGAGTTCGACAGGGAGGGGCGGGGTGAGGGAGGGAGGGACGGCGCTCCTCCTCTTCCTCCTTCTCCTCCTCCTCCTCCTCCTCGTTCTCTCTGCTTCCTGGGCCTACGTATGGACCCTTCTCGGGAAGAGTGGTCAGGAAGATGCCCGGGGAAGGTTCGGTGACCAGGTTTGAAGGAATTCGGGCCAGCAAGATACAGGAGGGGGAGGAGGATGGGACGCTTTCAAACGGGAGCTGGGAAGTCCCTGGGGGGGACGGAATTATGAGGAGAACTCGTGCACGGAAGGTTGGCTGCAATGCCCCCGAAGACGTCCGAAGAGTCCTGCAAGATTGCGCCTTTTGGGCCACTGGTACTCATGGATGCAGGCGCCGATGATTGACCCAATTCTGGGGGATCCCAGCTCATCCTCCCTGCAATCGATCGACTCGAATCGTTCTTACTTTTGTCGCTTTGCCCCAACAGTGTCGTCCTATGTAGGTTTATTGGCGGCCCCTTGTCTCGACTTGCGCCGCATACACGAAACATCCTCATCCCTTCCTCTCCTCTCTCCCTCCCTCCCCCGCCGTCCCTCCCTCCCTCCAGGTCCCTGCAGGTCTGGGCTGGGCTGGACCGAGGCCTATGGGAACCATCGTTCCTGCCAGGGCACGGAGAAGACAGGGGCTGGCCCAACGCTCTCGCCGAGGCGAGCCCCTGGAGCCTGGGGCCCAGGTGGCGCGCCCTGGGCGGCGCCTGGGTCCAAGGCCCCAGAGGCCACCTCCATGGAATTGTGCCCACCGCTTCTGGCCATCGCTCGGACGTCCATTCCCTGTGTTTTGTTCCAGTTTCGTGCGCGTTTTTTTCGCCAATTGATCAAGGATGCTCCTCGATGCTCCTCGCCGAAGGAAAAATACACACGTCCGAGCGATGCCAAGGCTTTGTTCTCATGTCCCCCCCGGGGGGCCCGCTGCCCGGGAAGCGCGTGGGGGGCCTCCCGCGCCCGCGCTGCTCGCTGCGAAAGGCCCGGCTTGCCTTCGTCGGGCCCCCTTCCGCCGATTTCGCTGGGGCAGCCGTCGCCGCCGCCGCCGCCTCCGTCGTTCGTCGTTCGTCGTTCGCCGTTCGCCGTTCGCCGTTCGCCGTTCGCCGTCGTCGTCGTCGTCGTCGTCGTCGTCGTCGTCGTCGTCGTTTCGTCGTTTCGTCGTCGTCGGCCTTCGCTGCGGTCGGCGACGCTGCTGTGTTTCGTTTTCGCCGCCGCTGTGGGGCTCGGCCACCGCCCCAGCTGGAGCCACGGACGCGCCTCTGCAGGCAGCCCGGACGCGGGCCAGGATCCGCAGCGCGGCCAGGGCTCTTCGGCCGAGCCGAGGTGCTGGTCCGCCTGCGTGCTCCCCGGAGCTCCGCCGCGGGATCGGCCTGTCTTTCGGCCTCGTCCGCTGGCTGTTGGCGTTTCCATCTGAACGCGTTGGCGTTTCCCCATCTGGCCTCCCCATCTGAACGCCTCCCCATCTGAACGCCTCCCATCTGGTGATCTGCTGGCCTCCCCGTCTGCACGCGTTGGCGTTTCCATGCCAGTCGAGCCGCGGAGGCGGTCCGCCTGGGGCCCCGCCGCTGGATCGGCCTCCCGCCTCCTCGGGGGCCCCGTCGAGCGCCGCGCTGACTCTGGCTCGTGCTGGAGGCTCCCTTGTCCCCCGGGTCTCGGCCTCGTTCGCGCGACAGCCTGCTGGCTGGTTCCCCTTCCTCCCGCCCTCGCCTTCCCTTCCTCCCTCCCTCCTTGTCCTCGCTGGGCTGAGCTGGGCCTGGGCTGGGCTGGACAGCAGCTTTCCGAAGCCATCTGGCTCCACCGAAGTTGCGTAACTCCTCGCGCTTCACTCCATGGTTGCACCCCGCGATGGGCTCCAGGGGCGCGCTCTGGGCCAAGCCGCCGGGAGCCGAGTAGTACAAATCTCTGCTCCTCCTGGGGTGACCCCCTCTCCCTCGATTCACTCAGTCTTGCAGCTGCGTCCTGCGCTGACATGAGGCGGCTGGAAGTACGGGCGGGGGTCCCTGTGGGAGGGAGTCGCCGTTGGGTCCCCCTCCCCTGGCCGTCCCCTCCTGTCCATCGCGTTCTCCTCCTCCGTGGGCCTAAGAGAACCGCGGGGCAAGGATCAGTCGGGCGAGCCCCTCCCCTTTCCCTCTCCCCGCAGGCGATGCTTTCCCTTCCCCGGAACGGACGCTGCGGGGTCGCGGCGGGCGTCGTCCTTCGGCCCTCCTGCCCCCTGCTAAAGGGGCCGTGTCCGCGCCCCCACACTGCCGCCTCGCTGGGAGGAGGCCATCCATCCATCAATCCATCCTCCTCCACCTCCGTCCCCCCTCTCCTCCTCCTCCTCCTCCACCACCTCCACCACCACCTCCTCCTCCTCCTCCTCCTCCACCTCCTCCTCCTCCTACTCCTCCTCGTCCTTCTCGGACTCCTCTTCTTCTT